CCCATGCATGTGTGTGTATATATATATATATGGACAGAGAATGCACTGCCTCCTATAGATACTTGAAGCAGAACCCTGAACCCTAAACCCTAAACCCCTAAACCCCTAAACCCCTCAACCCTAAACCCCTAAACCCCTAAACCCCTCAACCCTAACCCACAGCACCCGCCCAGGTGCGAGTCCCTTCTACCGGCAAGTCGGCCAGGCAAAACCCTTTGGGGAGCTCGGGGGCTTCAGATTCCCTGGCTCTTAGTCGGGAGGGTTTAGGGTTTAGGGTTTAGGGTTTAGGCTCTTAGTCGGGAATAGGCTAATATAGGGGCCTAAATAATTACCACCACTATTCTAGGGGTTCCGTATTAAAGTTATAGTATAATATTGATTATTATTGAGGCCCATATATATTTTACTTTAGGGACTACTCTACCCATTTGCCCCATTTTTTCCGAAAACGCCCAGGTTTAGGGCTTCGGGCTTTGAGAGTTTCGGGCTTTGGGGGTTTTGGGGTCTAGGGTTTTTGTTCAGCTCGGGGGATGAGGGATGTAGGGCCTAGGTTTAGGATTTTGGATTTAGGGTTTAAGGTTTAGGGTTTAGGGTTTAGGGTTTAGGGTTTAGGGTTTAGGGTTGAGGGTTAGGGTTTGGGGTTTAGGGCTTCAGGTCTAGACATTCACGTAGTTTGAGGATCGAAGCCTCTTGAGGTGTCGGTCGAGAGGTTGCTTTAGAGTGCTGAAGGCGGGAGAGCTATCCAAAGATCCTGCGCGACCTCAGAATCGAAGCGGTTTAGGCCATAGCCCTAGCATTTTGGGTTTCGGGTTTGGGGACCCCTTGTGCGTCCCGAAGTGCGAAGCTGATGTATCGCATGATACTAGACTTCATTTACCCTCCAGTCCTTTCCGAAGTCCTATCGGCCCTGACCCTGCTCGTTATCCCTTGAACCGTAAGCCCCTAAACCCTAAAAGGGTTTAGGGTATAGGGTTTTGGGTTTAGGGTTTAGGGTTTAATCCTAGTTTTAAGCTCTCAGGCATTATATACACCTCAATCCTGAGCCCGACACTGCCCTGCAACCCCACACCCTGTTGCTAAACACCAAACCCTGATCCCACAAGTTCAACACCGCCTTAGAAAGCGGTGAACCCTTTCCATAGAGCCAAAGCTACTAATGCCCCGATAACCCCTCACAAAAACCCTCGTATAAACGCCTTGCAAATCTGCATGGCAACTCTACAACCCCAATCAAAACCCTAAATCCCCAAACCCTAAGCCCCTAAACCCTTAAACCCTAAACCCTAAGCCCCAAACCCTAAGTAAGCCCCCTCAAACCGACCATGAAACCCCGTCATGCTTGGGGCAACGAGGTCGCCCGGATGAGGGGCCTTGGTCCGTCGCCGAGGCCCCAGTGACTGGGGAGCCCTCTACGGTAAAGGGTTTAGGGTTTAGGGTTTAGGGTTTAAGGTTTAGGGTTTAGGGTTTAGGGTTTAGGGTTTGTTTAGGGTTTAGGGTTTCGGGTTCTTTTGAAAAAGGGACCTTAACGAGGGATTTGGTTCCGTAAATGGGCTCATTTGAGAGGGACCTGAAAGGAGGTTGATTATTTAGGGGTTTAAGGGTTCCTTGTATAAGCCCTGGATTCACGATTGTTCTTCGACGTGACACTGCTCACAAGCTGCTAACAGCATTCTTGAGGGTTTGGCGTCCTGGCAAGGGAGGCTGTTGGTGGGGTTTAGGATTTAGGGGTTTAGGGGTTTAGGGTTTAGGGTTTAGGGTGTGCAGCAGCGCAAACTGGCTAAACATCGGACAACGAGAGCGTTGGTCACAATAACGGTTCTGGAAATACATTCACATGCATATACCCATTAAGTTGCTTATTCGTTGGTAGACCTTTTCTGTCTACATGCACTGCCCCCACACACACACACACTCCTACACTGTCCTACATCGCATTAGAACATGCATACATGCAGGCAAACATCGCTACATGCGTGGTCTTACTTGTTTTGTGTGCTTGTGTGCATTTGCTTTCGCAGCTACTCGATCCCTGGCTTACTTACGGGCTTACTTCCTTCCTTAGTTGCTTACTTACTTAACCACTCCTTTACTTGCGTACTTAGCGGCTTACTTCTTTACGTCCATTCCTTGCTTATTTCCTTATGTACCTATTTGCTCGCATGCTTCCCCCTTTCTTTCCTTGTTCTTCCCGCATACTCATACTTCCTTCCGTCCTTGCTTGCTTACTTACTCCCTTACGGACGCTTTTCTGCTTCCTTATTTGTTTCAGTTCCTTCTTACACAAGTTAGTGTTACGAAAACACATACAAACCTGCGCAGATTCAATCGTACTTACCACCTACCTATACCTACCGACCTACCTACCGACCTACCTACCTACCTACCTACCTACCTACCTACCTACATACCTCTACCTACCTACCTCTACCTGCGTACCTGCCTATTTGCATACCACCTACCTACCTGCCTTCCTGCCTACTTACCTACCTACCTCCCTACCCACCTGCTTACATGCTAGGAGAAACGAACAAATAAGCAAATAGATAACTATACATATATGAAGAGAGGCTTCATTGATACGTGATACGTCAGTCAATCCCACGCTTATCCGCACCGGTATGATGCCCAGGAAGAGGAATGTCAGTTTCATGCTTATTCATGCCGACATGATGCGCAATTAAGGGTGACTCATTGCAGATGCGCGCGGTTGACAGCACTTCCCCTGCTGGGTGGTTTTTTAGCTGTCCAGCTGCTGCTGAGGCTGCATCAACACAGGCTTCAAACTGCTGAGGTGTACATAGCAGGCGCCATTGGACTCAAAAACCATGTCAAGGTTGATGAATGCACCACCAGGTACTTGAATCTGAGACCCTAATACCCTAAACTCTAAACCCTAAACCCTAATAGCCTAAACCCTAGACCCTGAACCCAAGAAGTTGCAAACCTCATCCTTGGAGCCAACACCCAGATCTAATTTCAATTTGTGCAGGCTGGCTGCCCAGATCTGCATGCATGGATGGATCCGGGGTCACATGTGACTGTGTAAAATCAGGAGATGTGGACGGCAGAGGCTTTCGGAAGCAGCATTCTTAGCCTGAATATAGGAGCCTAAATAAATACCTATACTATTTTGGTGGCTCCTTATTATAACAGTTATACCAAAACAGGCCCCATTTCTAATTATTAAGGCCCCTACATTATCCCTCCCAGCCTGCAACCTACTGAGTCTGCACTCCGGGATCCATCCGCGTGGTGTCAGGTTCAGGCAGGTGGCCACGTCAAATTCAGTTCACCCGATCTCTCGGAAGTTCGAAGGACTGGTGTATTATTATTGTCATTATTATTGTTATTGTATTTATTGTTAGTATTGTTATTATATATATATATATTGTATGTTGCTTTACCAGCCACTAAGTCGCCTTTTCCTTCAAGCCGTCAGAGAGAGATTGGCACTGCACGAGAATGCACCAAAGTCAGAGTGTAGGACTTACCGGCAGACTCCCAAACCACCAGTAAATTTCCTTAACTAGACCCTAAACCTTGTACCCTTAAACCCTAAACCCTTAACCCTAAAACCCTAAATCCTGATCATCAGCAGCGGCGTTGTTCAAACCAGCTTTGCGAGACGTGGGATTTTAGGTCTTAGGAGAGGGTTTAAGGGGCCGTTTGCCCATGTCCTAAACCCTTAATGTTCTTCAAGCCAGCCCTTAAGCCTTAATAATTGCTCCCGAATTTTTTGGGAACCGGTAGACCCAAATTCCCAACATATCTATTCTTTCGTTTAGGGTTGGTGCGTAGGATCTGGGGGTATGGGTTATCGACATCGGCTACTTCGGAACCTGAAGCACTGGAACCCTTGATCCCACTTCCCTAAAACAGGTACATTCGAACTCCGAATCCTCCCTCTTCTACATCTCCAGGTGGATCTCCTCATCCATGTAGGGTGTCACCCTGAACCCCTAAACCCTAAGCCCCTAGACCCCTAAACCCCTAAACCCCTAAACCCTAACCCTAAACCCTAAACCCCTAAACTCTAAACCCTAAACCTCAAACCCAGGTTGAAGAGGCGCGGTTCTTGTGTTCCTAACCCGGCAAAACCCGACACGCTTGAGTGCGGCCCTTCTTATGAGGGTCATTGCCACTTCTGCGGGGACCTTGGGATAATGTAGGGGCCTTAATAATTAGAATAGGGGCCTGTTATAGCATAATTGTCATAAGGAGCCCCCAAAATAGTATAGTTAATTGTTAGGCTCCTATATTAAGGTTAGGAGTTTAGGCACCAGCTTTAGAGCTGAGGAGGGGTTGCAGGTTAAGTGTATGTAAGACATCCATATGTATACGAATATAAACCATCTCACATCATATTTAAAGTACTATTCTAGCTTGTATTTTCTGTTCTGCAACAAAAGATGATTCTAGTCAGTTTTAGTCTATCAGATCAGTCCTATGCCCTGAACTGCAGCAGAAAGGAAGCGGAAGCGCCTGTACAGGGTTACTCTTAGCCGACCGGTGCGCCGGGCACCAGGGCCAATAGAAGGAAGGATCATAATATCTAATATTTCATGGGTACTAGGTTTAACATATACGGTTCCTAGTGCATAACATATATTTTAGAATATATACTTATGTAATATCGAGACTCCGAAGCCCCGAACCCCAAAGCCGAAACCCTAAACCCCAAACCCCTAAACTCCTAAACTAAAACCGTTTAAGTGTGGACCAGGCCCTGGAGCGACTTAAACCCTCGCTTGCGGATGTTCATGCGAAGGGGTGAGTTTCGCAAGGAGCGTGGGGCTGAGCTAAAGAAAGGGTATGTAAGTATGCGTAAGCTGTTGAAACCTTGTGTCGCGTGTGTGTATCTCATAAAGAGTTTCAGACGATGTCTGTATTCAGTCACCCAGTCTTGTTGCTTCACTTACTTCCCGGGCTGTCCTATGCTCTTTCTTCCTGCCCCCCCACCCCGTCAGTACTCCAGCCATCTCCCGTCCCTAAATTTCTGTAATCACATGTGGAGTTCTGATATTCCGGAAACCACTATCTAGATTTCTTGTTTGTGGGTCAGGGCTTGGTGCTTGGGGGTCAGGGTCCAATGTGAGGGGTGCCCGGTATCATCGGCGGCCCAGTGAAATTCACGAGCGAAGGTGGATGCACGTGGCGGTTGCTACAAAAGTGCGTCGAGCGGCTGTTCTAGGATCGCCGAAGTGCCCTACAATAGAGCTCTTAGGGCCCACATGATGGTTTAGGGTTTAGGGTTTAGGGTTTAGGGTTTAGGGTTACATGGCTTGGTAATCCGTTAACGAAAACTGAAGCAGTGACAGCAGAATTGCACATCTGGCTTCCTGAGGCTACTGCTGCCATGTCTTTGCAACCGGTTTAGGGTGTAGGGTTTAGGCTTTAGGTGCTGTCAAAAAGTCACAGAGAGCTCATGGGGATCTTATATCGTGGTTGATGTACACATTAGTTGCGAAACCCTGGAAGAGGAAACAAGAGCTTCTGCGTAATATATGGGCCCAAATACTTACCAAAGTTTATTCTTTAGGGCTCCTTATCATATAGTTATAGTATAATACCCAATCTAATTATTAAGTCTCGTGTAGTAGCAAGGTTCTGGTTCTATCCACTGGGATCCCATCAGACAGGGATGCAGAAAAAGGCACTGTAAAGATACACCGAGCCACCAATACACGAGTCTGAAGAAGTTCCCTCCGCTTATGTATACAAGTACATCGGCCGCTATATTGGCATATAAACCCTTGCAACGCCCAAATTACCCGAAAAGCGTACTTTAGATTTCTGAGATCGTGTGCAAGATCACATTGAATCCTCATCTCTAGCTTTTAAGCCACAGCCTAAACACAGCCAAAGAGTGCACCCAAACGCACGTAGAGTGCTAAGCCATCGAAGCCTGAACTCTAGCTTCTAAGCCGCAGCCTGAACACAGCCAACAGTGCACCCAAACGCATGTAGAGTGCTTAGCCGAGGAGAACAAGACGTAGGGCACTGAGATACGGAAGCCCTGAAGCAAAGGCTTTTGTATCCAGAGATTAAACAGACACATGCTGCCATATAATCCAGAAATCCCAAAGCACCATAAGGAACATACCAGAGACATGTGGAGAAGGAGAACATGAAGACTTGGAAGCACTTCTGACACCAGTTTGTCCAGCCAGCGAACTCCACGAACTTATTGGACATCAGGTGCGAAGTAATCATTGAGGTTCTTTACGGTAAACCTTTTATTATCAGCGCATATCTATCGCCCATCGCCGTCCAGAAGCACAGCATTTGGTTCCCAAGCTCTCACTTGCAATCGGCAAGTGGCGCTGCGGCCAAGGCTGTGGAGCTTGGGCAATGGATCCTTCAGTACGGCTTTGCGAGCTCTGTAGACTAGAACAGGGCAGCCTGCAGGGTTGGGTACATGAACCATAGTGGCACATATGGTACAGAAACTGCAAGCCCTCAACCTGATTATACACAACAAACACCGTAATAGTGCCCGCAGTCACTGTCATAAACCGCCGGCGACAAGACCACAGTCTGTCTGCCCAAAACCGTAAATCCTACACCGTAAACCCCAAATCCTACATCCTACACCCCCAAATCCGGCACCCCAAGCATCCCCCAACCTCTCACCCTAGACCCTATAAGGCCTTTCGGGTCAGCGTGAGCTGTAGACTGCGAGGGCCCTCGGCTTGCTGAGTCTCTTTGGATCCGAATGGCTCGTCATGTCCCTGAGACTTCTCTGGTATACTTAAACCATCTTGAACATAATATGTATGCACACACACACATGTATATATATATATATACATATATCTATATATAGATGCACATACTGCATATCACACACCCAAACTCTGATTTGTTTTCAACTCTTCAGGCCCCTATATGAGAGTGTTGGATCTCGGGGTTGTCGTTTTGGGAGGATTCTGGTCTCTTGAACGATGGCTTGCAGTGTAGCAGCTCCCTCAAAACAGGCCAGCCCCTAAACCCTAAGCCCCTAAACCCGAAATCCTAACCCTAAGCCCCCTTAGCTGTTAAGTTGAGATCGCTGTCTTCCGGACCTTGGCGTGGCCCCGCGGCTTCAACCCTGAACCCCTAGAGCCTTGAGGCATGAAGCCTAAAGTCTGTCTTGTCTGCAGTGGCCTTATAGGACCCCTGGGACCTTGAGGGTAAATGTTCCGAAAAGATTATATATATATATATACACACACACATGGTTTTTACGTTTTTGTTACCTTACAGCTTCGTAGCACCAAGCTTCCAATCCCAAGCCCGCAGCGAATGATTGCCCTAAACTCCAAGCTTTGCCCTCCACCCTTCACCTGTAAAGCCTAGGTGTGTAATTTCGGGGCCTAGAGAATTACCTACTACTATTTTGGGGGCTCCTTATTATAATCATAGTTTCACACACCCTTATCAAGGCCCCTATATTACAGCCTATGACATATCACCTTTTCTGCTGGATTGCATTGTCACAGGCCAGGAGGTGTGGGCACAAACATTGAGGCTTGCCCTGTATCGTAGTCCAATGCGCATCATAGCTTACAGAGCTTATGTAGTGCATGGCATGGTCTGCAAGTTTGTTTGTTTGCTCATCTTCGAGCTTTTGGACAGTCTTCGTTAAGCTGTGACTGTGAGGTTTTGGTTGGGTTGCTTAGGGGCGGAGGGCTCTGTGTATCTTGCGCCGGTCGCTTCTGCCATGGCAGATGAAGATGCCGCTGTTGAAGCCTTGCGAGCAGAGATCGAGGTGGCGCGAAACCCCAATCCCAAATCCTAAACCCAAAAATGTATACAGGGGTTTAGGATTTGGGGCACAGGTTTCGTGTCACCTCGACTTTTGCACGGAAGGCTTCAAGGGAATTGCGGATGAGTGCCCTGAGGGCTGGACATGCTTTGATTGAGAGCGAAGTCCCACAGTATACCGACATGGTCAACAAATGCCGCAAATCCCTAAACCCCTAAAGGCCGAAAATTCCGAAACCCCTTATAAAACCCTAAACCCGAGGTGACAAGAGCGCAGGTTCAAGCAGAGACGGCCAAGAACGAAGAGCGGCGAGCTCAACTTGCGGAGGCCACCGCGAGGCAGCAGCCCCCGAAATCCCCAAACTCGATGCTCCCAGGGCCCCTAAGAGACTCTGAGCCCTAAGCCCTAAAGCTGCACGAAAGGAGACCCTAATCAAATAAAGAACCAGAGCCGAGAGGCAGAAGCTTCGACGGGAGCTGGATGAGCAGAGGATGTGGTTGCTTCGAGAGCAACGCCGAGGACGAGGGCTTGAGTCTGAAACAAAGCGGGTGGACGAAGACAAGGATGGAGACTACCTTCTTCAGCGTGGTGGCTTTGGTCAGTTTCAAGGGAATCGTCGATACGGAACGCATGAGGGGGGAGAACAGGTGAGTTGTGCTCGGAAAATCTACACCGAAGAGTTTGTCTGGGAAATTCAGGGCTTCTCATGGCTGAATGGCGTCTTAGACTACGAAAGGGAATCCTTCGTTTGGTCCAACTTCTTCTGTGTGGGTTATGCGAAGTTCTACCTCGTCTACAACCCTTTTGGTGACGAGCTGTGGAATCAGAGGCATGGCTCCTTTGCCATCGTCTGCCACAGCGGGAACTGCAGCCGATTCCGGTACTCGGTTTTTGTGAAGGCTCGGAGCGGAATGTTCAAAGCGTGGGGAGAGACCTCCGAAGGCACCTTCTTGCCGGACTCTGTGCACGGCCCGGATGTCTTCCACAGCCAAGGACCCTCGGCTCCCGCCGCAGGGATCTTTGGGCTCTCGCATCGGCAGCTGCTGCAATCCGACTGGGTGCAGGATGACATGCTGACTTTGAAGGTCTTAGTTAGCCAATAGGAGAACTTTAAACTTTTTGGCCTTATATATTTGGTCTATCCTAAAAAGTTTGANNGCCTGGTTGTTGAAGAAGAGAGAGGTGGTCATCGAGGCCCTGCCCCAAGGCTCCTGGGATGCATCCTGCGCAAGCCCGGGCGTGGAGGTCCCGGATCCCACGATGCGCCACGACATGCAGAATCTCGGCACTTGCGAAGCATCTAGTGGAAGCTAGCAGAATAAGGAAATCGTTAGCAGTATTTCCCTCGTTCTGGTACCTTAAAATAAGTTTCCTTCTCAAGAACCCAGGAATTTGTTGGAGACGGGCACCTGCAGCGATGTGCAGTTCGTGGTGCATGGGGTCGAGCTCAAAGCTCACTCGCAGGCAGGTGGATGCGAAAAGATACTCCCTTCATCGGTAAGCATCTTATAACATGATGCAAAAGAAGTGCTGGTTATTGGGCTGAGATGAGGAGTTTGTTGGCAACCTACACCAAAGCTCTGAACCCTTTAAGCCGGAACTGAAAGTCACCACCTTCATCACAACCCGTGAGGTACTCCTCGCACGATCCGAAGTATTTGCCAAGCAGCTGACGGCTGGAATGGAAGAAACCATGTCGAGGGTCATCCAGATAGACGACACTGACTTGGCCACCTTTAAGGCATTCCTGCAGTTCCTGGGTTCGTGCTGAGCAGTGTTTTGATGAACAGCCATGATAGGGATGGACAGTACGTCGCGCGCTTTCCTTCCTACGCAAACTTACACGAGACTAAGAGACAGCCTTGTAAAGCCCTGATACAAGCCCTCATAGATTCTAGAGCTTCTGTATGTTTANNAAACCCTAAACCCTAAAATCCTTAAGATGCGGTCCTTTACCGGCCACGAGGTTCCTCTACACGGACGACCTCACCGCAGTCGGTAAGTTGATGGACGCCACATCCGATGAAAGCGACGTGTCGCGAATGCAGAAGCTCATGGCCGTGAGTCACAAGTACCAGGTACCTAAAACCGAAGCCCGCTGGGTTTACCTGGATCCCCCAACTACCCTCTAATTATACGCGAAAGACCCACGATTGAGGACCATAAGGGCTCGATTCAAGGGCACTTGGGGGGTCCTGGTAGGAGTTGGAATTAATAGATTGAAAAGGGTTTATGGTTTAGGATAAACCCGAAGCCCAAAGGCCCTGTCAACCCTGAGTCCTTAAACCGGAAATTTTAGAGGCCCTTTAGACCTTAAGCCGTAAGCCTTAAAACATAGGCCCTAGCTTACCTGCAGTGAGGAAAAGGGGCCCTCGAAAAAAAGGCCTAGACCCTAAGTCTCCGTGTCAGGTCTCCAGGTTACAGCTTTGGTGCGAATTGCAGCTTTGTAAGCTGCTGACGACCGCCGATGTCTGCGACATGCTCTGCCAGGCACACCTGCTCCAAGCCAGCAACCTTGAGCATGCCTGCCTCTGGGTGGAAGTCTGGAGGTTTGCTTTGCACAATCCTTTCTGATCTGTGGTCTGAGAAGGGCACCAGGTTCTTCCAACGGCTGGGGAAGTTTGAGGTATTGTGGGTTTAGCAGGGTTTAAAGAGTTTAGAGCGTTGGGACACTTTTAACTTCCGTTATGGTTTTGTAAAGGTACGTTTTCATAAACACTTTGGGAGCATTTCAAGCACAACTGAGGCCTCTGCTACATCAAAAACCACCTGACCAAGGTGGTCACACTTCCGGAATACGCAGGCTTGGTTCAGACGTGGCCTGATGTCCTGCTGAAGGTCAAGCGCTTCTTGGTGGGCGAGCCACATTTCGAAACAGATGCTCCGCGGAAGCCTGAAGTGGGGGGAGGATGATGATGAACAGTCGACACATGCCGGCGAAGAACCTTCTACGTGTTCGCCAGCTGGACATCGTGCCCTTCTGGGGCTGGACAAGCCGGGTGGCGTTGTTTTCTATTGGTTTAGGATTAGGATAGTCTAGGATAGATGATACGCCTGTTAGAAGCCTGTTTGTTCGTAGCGAGCATCATAGCCGTAGTCATCACAATTACAGCGACAGCCGCCGCTGTCCATGCTGCAGCCGCGACTGTCCATGCTGCAGCCTGCATGTTCTATCTCTCGCCACTGGCGCCCTAAACCCTGCATATACCCTAAGCCCTCAAATCATCGTATACCTTAGATAAACCTTAACCCTAAAGTATAACCTATACCTGATACCCTAAAGCTGGCCCTTGTGGGTTCACCCTGACAAGAAAGGGTCAACTCTGCCGGTCGACACGGCTGCACTTAAAGCAGCTCGACGCGAGCTGTGTCCTTCTTCTGGCATCCTGGGTGCCTAAAGGTGCTCTGTGACGCAATTTGACGTTTTAAGGTCCTGAATGTCTGCTGATAGACGTGGCTGCAAAGATCAGCCTTCAGAGTCTGCCAGTGCCAAGCGTGCCCGGCGCCATCGATCCACGGCAATGTTGAGGATGAGGACACACAGGAAGTCAAGCGGCCCAAAGGAGTTTGAAGACGGGAAGCCGGTAGGACCTAACCCAGGGATCTCTCCCCAAACCGTTGAACACATCAGAGTGCAGCCGGAAGTGAAGATGTGGAGTGTTGTCCAAATCATGCTCGCTCCGGCTACCAACATCGAGGGGTTGGGGTTGTAGGGGTTCGGGAGTAGGTTGCAGCATTCGAGGGTGTCGGTGTCGGGTTACGCAGTTTATAATCCAGACCCTAAACCCTAAACCCTAAACCCTAAACCCCTAAACAGACCCTAACTAACAACACAACCCACTTTGAGCTCAAGTCTTGGAAAAGGACACAGTCAATCCAGATCTCCCCTAATCCGCTAGACAGCAGAAACCCTCAAAACCCTAAACCCTCAACCCTAAACCCTCAACCCTAAACCCTAAATCCTAATCCCTAAACCCTAAAACCCTAAACCCTAAAGCCCTAAAGCCCTAAATCCTTAACCGCGAATTCACCCCGCAAGTCTGAAGACACAAGCCTTCTCGGCCCAGGGTCTCAACCGGAAGACGAAAACTTAAACCTTAAAAGGGGCTGCTAGGGCTCAGGGTTTAGGGTTTAGGGTTTAGGGTTTCGGGTTTCGGAGTGAATCGGTTCAACCCTGAAGCAACCGAAACTTTACACTTAAACCCACTTAAATCCTAGCTTCCCAAAACCCTAATCCCTAAACCCTAAACCGGTTATCCGAGGCTCGGGGCCATCAGCCCCCAAATTATCAGCGCATGATCAATATATACTAATCCTACAATCATTCCCCCCCGGAGCCCTAGATCTAAACCCTAAGCCTTCAACCCCTAACCAGCGGCTTCATCTAAAGCCGAGAGCTGCGGTCAGGGGTGTGGAGAGAAGTGCAGCGGAGGTGTGGGAGGGGAGTTGAGGAACGAGATCTTTAAGGGCTTGGGGTCTGGGGGTGCAGGACTTGGGGTGGAGGGTTCCGCGTTTGGGGTTTAGGGTGTCAGGTTTTGGGATGCCGTTTCCAAGGCCTCAGCCACAGGCGGGAGGTAGTATAAAGCGAGATGCAGGATTGCATTGGGGCTTGACGTATTGAGGTACGAATGGGTTGAGAGCTCTGATTCTAGCTGTGGGCTTAGATTTGTGGTGGTGTTATCTTACTGGACTTGATTGTTGGATGTGAGGTATAAAGGTGAGTGCCAGAGTCAGATGAAGCGTATCAATTAAAGGGCTTTCAAAAGGTGTACGTTTCCAGGATCGAAGGCGACTGGTTGTGCGATTGCACCTACCACTTCTGCACTTCTGCTACAACAACAACAACTACTACT